ACTAGTAAGGCACTTGTTAGTAGTAGCGATGCACCTGTTCCTAGTAGCGTCCTTGTTACTACTAGTAAGGCACTTGTTACTAGTAGCGATGCATTGTTTCTAATAGCAAACATTGTTACTACTAGTAAGGCACCTGTTACTACTAGTAAGGCACTTGTTACTAGAAGCGATGCACTTGTTCCTAGTAGCGTCCTTGTTACTACTAGTAAGGCACTTGTTACTAGTAGCGATGCACTTGTTCCTAGTAGCGTCCTTGTTACTACTAGTAAGGCACTTGTTACTAGTAGCGATGCACTTGTTTCTAATAGCAAACATTGTTACTACTAGTAAGGCACCTGTTACTGCTAGTAAGGCACTTGTTACTAGAAGCGATGCACTTGTTCCTAGTAGCGTGGAAACGTTGGAACGGAAATATGTGAAGCGTTGAGGGCGGAAGTCGATTCACCACGAGATTCACCGAAAAGTTTTCATGGATTTCACGATTTGAACTTTGGGGGGTTGAACCTGGCATGTTTGGACCAATGGCATTGTTTTTTTGCAATCGTGATCCATGTTTTCGTGCATTCTTCTGCCAGGATCAAAACAAAGAAGCGCCTGCCCAGCTGATTTTGGAAAGATGGTCGACTTTTGCGTCAAAAACAAAAAGGTACTTTGACGCGTACTTTGCCAGGTGTGCGAAACGATGTGGTGAGAGATCTTGCTTTTTTTTCTCCAGAGTGGCTCGAAGAACACATTACCATGTCATTTGAACGAGACACAGCGCCAGCACAGCCAGTTCGATTTAGGATGGAGAAATCCGGAAAGCATGCCTCGCGTTGACGGCGTTTGCTTCTCAACCTTCCATGAAAGAATGAACAAAAAAGCAAGCAAAAAAATGTGTATTTCAATTTCAAATCTTGTTGCAACATTTTTCAATTTAATTTCACTTTTCTGTTTTTTTCTCGGTATTCGCTTTTGAGGATTCCGGCCTTCGACCACGTCATCATGGTTCCTCGGACATTCTGAACCGAACATGTATATTAACTATCTACATATTTACTATATATATATTAGGTTGGAGGCCATCGCTACTAGGATGGAGGCCATTGCACTTATGTTATATATGTTGTTATAAAGTATAGTTTCTCGAATGTCTCGTGCCATTTTTGGCACTGTGAATTGTGCGCTAAGGTCTTCATTGGATTTTCATCGGTGGTCATGGCTGTTTGAGTCTCAAACTGTGAGTGACGAGGCAGATAAAACCGATGTCGAATGAGTCGAGTTGAGTGACCGATGTCATGGAGTTCAGTTTCATTGAAGTACATTGTGCCTCGTTGAGTTTGATGAATTTCATCCATCCATGTGTCTTTTTACATATGCGTGTCTGAGTTTGAGAATCCTTTGCACGATCCCAATAGTACACAAGTCAAGGCTGGGATTCTTTTAAAAACATGTCCAACAGTAGCTAGAAGCTACTAGTAGCGATGCACTTGTTACTAGTAGCGATGCCCTTAGCTACTAGTAGCTTCTTGTTTGTGGTTAAACGAACTGTTTTTTAAGCATCTCACTGCGTAGGTTTTGGAGGTGTTGAGCACTGTTTTCACTGCTGGACACTTGTGGGATGGGATTGACATCTTTTTGGATGTGTTTTTCACCGCTCAAAAAGGGCTCAGTGATAATCTCAGGTCATTTTCCTCCTAGAGGTGGTGGTGAAAATGATTGCGTTGGGAGCATTCTGCAATTATGCTTCCTGGCGAATTGATTAAATTGTGCTCTCAAAAGCATAACAAATCCTTTCCTTAGGCCGATTTCAATCGTATACTCCAACGTGCTTCAGGGTGATGGTCGCAAAGCATACTTGCGAAGCTTTGAGAATGTCCTGGACTTCGTGATTGTGATTGTGCGTGGCCCCACAGATATTTTAGTTATATAAGTCGAAATACTCTTGAGACCTGGTGCATCTAGCGATGGCCTCCAACCTAAGAGCGATGGCCTCCAACCTAATAGCGATGGCCTCCAACCTAATGGCGATGGCCTCCAACCTACTAGCAATGGTTTCCAACCTACTAATGATGTAATACAATAATATGATACAATACAATATGATATGGGAAACGGGGAGCCTTACGCTTCTCAGAAGCCTTTCTCTTTCCAGCTGTCACAAAGGAGCTCTAGCACAACAAAGGGCAGTAACCTGCGAAAGCTTTAACCACGGCAAGGCTCATGGCAATACGACCTACACTTCTGAACGTCAACCTTCTTCACGAAGCCACAGTTACTTCTGTGTTTGTTCTGCGCAAGATGACGGGACGACGACATTTGAATTTCAGGTCAGTTCTGGATAGCATCCAGACATGGCTTCTTGTGGGCAGCAGCGGCGGTGTGCGCGACCTGACATTCTGCCTTGTGAACTGTTATTCCAGAGAAACTGTTGCAGTGGTAACGCTACTTTTATATTGTATTATATTGTATCACTAGTAGGTTGGAGGCCATAAGACAAGTGGTAGTTAGGTTGCTTCTCTCAGTTGACCATTTGAGAGGTAATTGCAGTGATGAAGATCTTTCGAGTTGTGAGGCAAAGCTTGAATGCGCTTAAAGATAAGCTTAGGGCGCCAAGAAAGCAAACGAAAGCAAAGAAACAGCCTTTAACTTTCACGCGCTCTTCTTTAAGAGGATTCAAGCGAAGACAACTGCGGTTTTGCCGTTTCACGGGTCAGGATGTTGAGGCCCCTCCGCCTCATTTCGCGCAGCAAGAACCTGAAGGTGGGGGAGATGTGGGGAGAACAATCCATCGCAAAGACGACTCAAAACAAAATGGCCATAAATTGAGAACATCTAATAGCAATGGCCTCCAACCTAGCAATGGCCTCCATCATTGAGATCCAGACATGAACAAAACACGACTGGACAAAATGAGAACCAAAACGTCAAACCGCTTTGTAACTGGAGAGTGTTCGAAGTGGGTTGAGCACCCCTTGCGGCAGGTTGTGGTGAAAACGATACTAGCTGCCATTCCAGAGCTGCGAAACCTCCTCGTGCGACTGGCTGTTTATTTGCAAAAGAACTAGGAGCAAGGATGCTACTAGGGGCTCCTGGCCTTACGACTAGGAACAAGAAGCTACTAGGGGCTCCTGGCATCGCTACTAGGAGCAAGGACGCTACTAGGGGCTCTTAATGAGCACAGGACACCCGAGATGTCAACTGAACATGTCAATGTTGTACGACTAGGAAGGCCAAGAGTGCCCCTAATTAAGTTAAGTGTCCCCCAAAATCTAGGAACCAAATCATTAGCCGAGCTCTCTTGCGTCCAGTCGGTAGTAGCTACTTGTAGGTACAAGAAAAGCGAGGTACTACTACCTCTATCCGGCCTACACCCTACCCCCACGATCGCGCGCGCGAAAGGGCTCCTGCGACTAGCTACTACCTCTTCCTACTAGCTACTGGCTACTACGGCCTAACCCCTACCCACTTTAAAACAAATAATATATCTTTTCAAACACGACTTCCTTCCTTCCTTCTCCTTTCTTAACACGACTCCGTTTACGACTGCTTCGTGTCTGAAATGTCAGGTGTTCAGTTCATTGTTCTTCTTGATCTTTGGACTGCTCGTGTCTCAACTGCCTCAACTGTCTCAACAGTTGTGTCTCCTCAGTTGTGTCTCTTTTTGTCTCAGCAAACCCCGCACGTTTCAGCAAGGTTGGCGGTGGGGAATTTGAAGGGCTCTTATCACAGCTGCAAAGACCACATGCAATGGACTCAGGTTGTTCTTGAGCTATTGCATTTCCAGTGTCCTTTTTAGACAGTTCGCAAGTTTTTGATGATTCATTGTTCTGGTCAAGGTTGGAAGACTATGGGTTTTCACGTTCGGAACCCCAGTGCTCCTGACACCGGGACAAGTAGAAAAGGTCTAAAGGTAGAAAGAAAAACAAGAAAAAACATCTCGCACCGAGCATCGCCAAGCGTTGAGCGATGTCGAGCGTTTGAGTGAAGTGATTCGCTTCGAAATCGCCGGTATCAATTTGGGCGAGGCGCTTCCGAAAGGAAAAGAAGTAGAATAAAGAAAGATAACACAACAGGAAGAGCCAACCTTCTTTTTCCTTTGCGAGTGCCAAAGAAAGTCTCTCTTCCGTGGCCGCCATGCATCTAACTATGAATTCCATGCTGTGGGGATTGAAGTCCTGATCCTGTTCAGCGTTGTAGTCATAATTCGCAACCAAATTAGTAACAAACTCCTTGAACTCTGCTGGTAGGGGTCGCACTCCAGTCTGTTGGAGCGATCCAACAAAGATGGCTAACATTCGGCAGCCTCCAGGGTACTCTGTTTACTTGTTTATAGCTTCTTGTTACTAGTAGTATGGCCAGGAGCCCCTAGTAGCTTCTTGCTCCTAGTAGCGATGCCCTTTGCTCCTAGTGGCGTCCTCTTTCAGTTCGGCCCAAGAGCCGTACTTTCGACCCACCGCAGTACGCTTCGGTAGTGCGGAACACCCTCGCACGATGATCTCTAGAGTGGTTTGGTGTAAAAAGAAGACGCGTAGGTTTAGGGGTTTTACCCCCGTAGTGGCCTTGGAGTATTCTATGTGTCACACGGTTCGGGAACCGTTGCAACACCCTGAGAATAGGTAGTCTCCAAATAGACGCGGCTTTCTCATTGGCTTCATCTTGCTCAGGATGCTCATAGATGGCAATCGCAGTGAGGTGGATTGCCACTCCCAATACGAAGCGTGCTCCGCATGGACCTGCTGGTGCTCCTTATAGTTGAGGTCCTTGCGCCGTGGCAGCTGTCTGGTGCGTACCACCCTCTACGACAGCCACCTTGGACCAAGTCTCACACGGTGGGCCCGCCACGCCCTTGAGCCATAGTACCTACTAGCATATAGTGCACGGGCGAAAACGGAAAGTCTCACTCCGTGTCGCAAGTTTCCTTTGACCTTATCGAAGATAATATCGATCGATAGGGTCTTGAAGCCATATCCTTCCAGCACACTTTGTAGGTCTTCATATCTTCGGTGGCATGAAAATAGGTGTGCGATGTGGACATCGAAGTCCGGCAGCGTGTGGTTTATACAAGGAATCCATTTGATCAGCCTCTCTGGCAAACAGATCGCATGCTCGGTCGTTTCTAGTCGCTGACTTGGAATTCCCTTCAAGGATCCTGTCAGCTCCAAAATAGATGCGTCAAGAACCAAAACATGCCAACTTCTGAAGAAAATCAAGGTGAAGTTCCTCATGTTCAGTCCAGATTACTAACCATTAATCAAAGGACAATAGGATTTCTTTAGGGAACAAGACCGTCTTTCCAGTCGCTTGCCTCAGTGCCTCCAAGACATCACTCCTACCCGTCAAGGCTTGATCGGAGGTCCACGCAGCAAAGAGCTCGGGTGAACCAATGAGATCGTTGCCCTGTTTGGCTTAGGCCCCTTTGCCTGTAAGTAGGGATCGTGCCACTCAGTCAATTTTCCAGCCACCCCTACTATTCACTCCAGCTTGGATGCTAACCTTCTCTCCACGTCTTTAGAAATCCCTGCAAGACTCTTTCCTCTTAGCATTGAGGTTGACATGCAAAGAATATTGCCGAAGGCATGCTTCACACTGGCTCCCAACCACAAAGTATCGTATATCGCGCATGCACCGCTTGGGCCGCCTGTGTAGCAAAACACATGCGACATCTGGGTTGGAGGCCATTGCTAGTAGGTTGGAGGCCATCGCTAGTAGGTTGGAGGCCGTCGCTATTGGGTTGGAGGCCATTGCTAGTAGGTTGGAGGCCATCGCTAGTAGGTTGGAGGCCATCGCTAGTAGATTGGAGGCCGTCGCTATTGGGTTGGAGGCCATTGCTAGTAGGTTGGAGGCCATCGCTATTGTGTTGGAGGCCATTGCTAGTAGGTTAAATGCCATTGCTAGTAGGTTGGACGCCATCGCTTTTGGGTTGGAGGCCATTGCTAGTAGGTTGGAGGCCACTGCTAGTAGGTTGGAGGCCATCGATATTGGGTTGGAGGCCATTGTTAGTAGGTTGGAGGCCATCGCTAGTAGGTTGGAGGCCATATTGCTAATAGGTTGGAGGCCATTGCTAGTAGGTTGGAGGTCATTGCTAGTAGGTTGGAGGCCATCGATATTGGGTTGGAGGCCATTGTTAGTAGGTTGGAGGCCATCGCTAGTAGGTTGGAGGCCATATTGCTAATAGGTTGGAGGCCATCGCTATTGGGTTGGAGGCCATTGCTAGTAGGTTGGAGGCCATCGCTATTGGGTTGGAGGTTATTGCTAGTAGGTTGGAGGCCATCGCTAGTAGGTTGGAGGCCGTCGCTATTGGGTTGGAGGCCACTGCTAGTAGCATCGCTATTGGGTTGGAGGCCATTGCTAGTAGGTTGGAGGCCATTGCTAGTAGGTTGGAGGCCATCGCTATTAGGTTGGAGGCATTGCTAGTAGGTTGGAGGCCATCGCTATTGGGGTGGAGGCCATTGCTAGTAGGTTGGAGGTCATCGCTATTGGGTTGGAGGCCATTGCTAGTAGGTTGCAGGGCATCGGTATTGGGTTGGAGGCCATTGCTAATAGGTTGGAGGCCATTGCTATTAGAATAGAATTGCCCTGCAAGTCACTTTTATGGTCATGGTGCATTCTTTCCAAGTCTTCGCGCCGTGACGGTTTTTCTTCAGACCTGACCTTTCTTGGACTGTATTCTTCAAGCAATTTACTGTTGGGGTTCTCTCTTACCAAAAAAGGGCTGACCCCGATAGCCATGGCTGCGCCGTTTGCCCTTTCTTCACTGCTTTGTCCGGGCCTTCTTCGGGTTTGTGTGTCCTGCTTTTTGCAGGCCTTGTCCGGGTCCATGTGTTTGCTTCAAGCTTTGTCAGGGTCTGTGTGGGAATATAGTTACAGATGCTTCTACCATGATTGGAATTCAAAAAATTGATGCAAAAATATCCTGCTGAAACTGTTTGGGGTCTAGGCTATGCTGGTATAATTACAATCTGTATTGTTCTTCATTTCGTTGTGTGTTCTTTTCCCACAAACGGGTGTTCGTAGAAACCAACTTGGTTTCTGGTTGATCGGTACACATGACATCACCTCTAGGTCTGTCGAGTTGGTAGAGCCACGTCTCAAGTTGTTGCATTAGATAAATTAAATTGTAATTAGATAAACTAAAGGTCTATCAATTTTGCGTCTTTTGACCAACCTTTGCCTTGAAAACACATGCATGATATTTTTCACGCTTCACATCTTCCTTTATTTTTCATTTGCTTTCTCTCAGTGCCTGAGGATCACCAGAAACGACTCTGATGTGCATTGCCGACACCGTGACCCGCCCAGAAAGCACTCGGTCAAAGGAAACTCCAGGAAACCGAAGGCCATCTGCCAGATGCCCATTTTGCAAGGTTGTAGACAGCAGCTCCAATGTGCTTGATGCCCCAGTTGATTTTGGACAGACTGTTCATGACCTTGTTTGTGGTGAATTTCCTTGGAGATTCCCTGCAAAGTCAAAAGTGTTGTCATGTCTTCAGAGCATTTTGAGGTCTTGGGGTATCATGTCGCTCCAGCCTTGGTAAGCTTGTGTACAGTGTGGGTATTCTCGCAATTTAAAGACATGATCTCTTACCAATTTGTGTACACGCTAGCAGTTTGGCTGGAAACGTGCCACGACAGTGCTTTACAGAGGCAAAGTCCTGGAACTTGTGCAACCCTCAGCAATGGACACAAAGAGGGCACTTTAAAGAAATGGTCAAACCAGTCGAATCCAAGGAGAAAAAGTCTAAGAGGGACATTTGGATGTGTTGAAGCAGCACTTGCTTTCGGTCAGATTCAAGGTTCCTCCGGGAGGGAGTGGCAGAGGCCCACCAAGGACACACCGATTTGTGAGGCCATCAATCAGAGTCGCTGTGCAAATTCGGGGCACCGAATGTGCCGAGTCATTGAATCTAGTACTTTGGAGGGAGCCTTCTTCTTTAAGTCTTTTGTAAAGGATTAAACATCGTCAGCAAGCTCAAGACAGATCTGGTTGAATACCTCTATTGGTTGATGACACCGATACAGATATGTTTGTGTTTCCAAGATGTGTTGGGAAGCTGCAACGTTGTTGGAGCACGCACAGATTGAAAAAACACAATTTGTTGTTATTGGGAACATGGTTGGAGGCCATCGCTATTAGGTTGGAGGCCATCGCCATCGCTATTATTGCTAGTAGGCCATCGCTAGGTTGGAGGCCATCGCTAGCAGGTTGGAGGCCATCGTTATTAGGTTGTATTGCAAGGACGCTACTAGGGGCTCCTGGCCGTACTACTAGGAGCAAGGACGCTACTAGTAGCAAAGACGCTAGTAGGTTGTATTGCATGTGTTTGCTGCAACTTGCTACAGCATGGATCATGGAGGTGCATTGCGACAGCTCTAGCCACCCAGCTTGTCAGAGACCAAGAGCAGCACCAGCAGAGCACAGAGCAGGCTTCTGCTGAGCAAAGGTTAACATTAAAAATGGAATATAGACTTAGAGGAAAACATGCTTAAACATGTCTATATGTTTTCACTTTCTTCACTTTTTCTATTTGTTTTTTTTGTTCCTTCCGCTACTAGGCTTGCCTTGCGTCGTTTGGTCTGCTTCAGGCCAGACTTCACCGTGGGGATACCACGTGATGCGCTGCAGTGATTGCAGCGAGGCCAATTGCCCCGAAAGCTCCCAGGACTGAAATGACAAGAAACAAGTGCCTCACTACTAGTAACAAGTGCCTCGCTAGTAGTAACAGGTGCCTTACTAGTAGTAACAAAAAGCTATTAGAATAGAATTAAATTTAAGATTAAGTTAACATTAATAGCTTCTTGTTACTACTGGTAAGGCACTTGTTACTAGTAGCGATGCACTTGTTCCTAGGACGGAGAAGTGAAAAAAGAGACGAAACGAGAACTCAAAGAAACTACGTTCGGGGCTCCTGGCCTTACTACTAGGAGCAAGGACCTTACTAGGGGCTAACATCGCTACTAGTAACAATGTTTGCTAGTAGAAACAATAGAAACTAGTATCTAACTTGGGTTTTCAAACGACTCCTTTTAGGTCTAAAGTTACCAGTAAGAACCGACAAAAAGCGAAAGAAAGGACAGAAAATAAAACACTATATATACTTATATTTATTTATATATATAACAGAGAGAAAGAAGGGTCTAAAGAAACAATATCAATGAACAGAAAGAACACACTTAGACAGAAAGGAATACAAGACACGCAAATAGAAAAGTTATTTTGCTTTTAGTTTGGAATTGTTGTTTTCTATTACCGGTAGGCAAGACTTTAAGTGTCATTAGTAGGCAGAAGTCGGACATAAATACAGAGGTTTGAGGATTGTTTGACCCCTGCGGCACATGTGGACCTTGGTGTTCTGTTTATTTTTGTAATTGTCCTGTCACTTTATTTGCTATATGACAACTTTATTATTTATTGTTTATTTGTTGTATGATTCTTGTTAATATATTTGTTCATTTTCAATTTTACTTTACTCACTGCACGCGTTGGCAAGAGCTTGTTCGCCAAAGGACCTCAGCCGCCGAGATTCTTGCCAGCAGCGGTGCGCGAGACATGAGTACTTCTGCAAGGCCTGCTTTTGTTGTTCATGTCTTTTTAAGAGACAGCTAGAGACAGTAGGCTTGGCCTCCTTTTCTGTTTTTGCACGACTCAGTACGCCGACGCCAAGCCTTAGTTTTCACTGCCTATCTTCTCTTTTTTCCTTTATCTCAAGTTATCTCCCCTACAAGAAAACAACACGAAGGCCTTTTCATTCACTGAGAAAGGCCCGAAAAGACGGCACGAAACAGCCTTGGCCAAGAAATGCGAAGTCAAACGCCTTGGATCTTGGCCGCCTTGGCCTTTAAGATCTACGAGCCAGCTTTGCACGTGGTGAGCTGCTTTGTCTTTTTGTGCTTTTTGTGCAGCTTTGTTTTTTTTTTGTGTTTGTTGCTTTTGTCGCTGTCCTGTATACATTTGTGTTGCATGTGCTGCGTTTGCATTGTTTTGCTTTTGTCGCTGTTGCTTGTGTTGTTTTTTTGTACTCATTCTTCTCTTAGTTGATTTTGCTTTTGCTGAATTTGGAGAGAGTGTATTTTAGCAGAATGGTTTTGTGCCGATAGCTTGTTTGGTTGCTTGTGGTGTGGCTTCTTTGGCTTCTGTAGCCTTTGGCTTCTTGTGGCGTTAGCCTTTGAGTGCTTATTTGGTTGAAACTCGTCTGCGGCATTTGATTATTGGTGGTGTTTGGCTTTTGTTCCTTTTGCTTTTGTAGCTGTTTGTGCATTAGTTTTGTTTTTTTCTCTGTGGCCTTTCTTGTTTTGTTATTTTGCTTTTAGTTTTTTGTTTTTTTCTGTATCCTGGTTGCTTTGTTTGCTGTTGCTGGCGACGCGGATGAACGCATTCATACAATAAGGGTTCAAAAAAGAACTAAGAAAGGTGTGCCCAAAAATAAACACCACTTTAACACACTCTACTAGGAACAAGAAGCTACTAGGGGCTCCTGGCATCGCTACTAGGAACAAGAAAAGCAAGGAAAGACAGGAGGGAGAGAGCGAATGACAGGAACACCGCATGGGCCCCAACAGCTGAAATTAGCGGATGTGCAGGGTGTGATGTCCAAAAGCGCTGTAAATAAGATGGCCTCCAACCAAAGAGCGATGGCCATGGCCTCATACTTGTTTTCAGCCCTATTGTCATTCTACCTCAAACACCCGGTACAACACTACGGGTCTTGAGGCGCGGATTGACCGACCGCAAGATTCCTGTGTGGTCTAAATTCTTATTGTTACTAGTAAGGCACTTGTTTCTAATAGCTTCTTGTTACTACTAGTAAGGCACTTGTTACTACTAGCGTGGCACTTGTTACTAGTAGCTTCCTATGCCTTACTACTAATATTTTTTTTTACTATCTAATACGAAGAACGCATAGGAAAAGGAGGCCTTTGCTACTAGGTTGGAGGCCATTTGGTTTTATACCGAAGAAAGCATCAAAACACAGTGTAAATATAACTCGTGTTGGAGTAAGAAGCGACGTGTAAAAGGTCCTGGTTGAAGTGACGAAGCCGTGCGAAGCGGTGCTTCCCCGCATTGTCCCGTGCAGGGGGGTGGAGCAGAGTGCACGGAGCTTACATGAACTCGAAAACAAAAAAAATGCAGAAACGAAGGAATAACGACCCTACACGTTCCAAGACACCTGCTTTCTGCTGAGTTTGCAACGCTGCAGGTTTGGAGCAGTGCGTGGCCGCTTGTATTTGCGAATCCAGCTGCTGGGGCTTGATCGAGGCGCAGTTTGGCTTTGTCTCTCAAGAGTGACAGGTCTTTGCCTTTCTTCGGGGTTCCAGGACGCCGCCTTGTGCACGGAACAAGGTGGGAAATGGGTGAATCTAAATCAAAACTTCGATAACCTTCTGGTAGCCTGAGCCTGAGCTACCTTAGCAAAAAGTTTGCTGCGAAAGCTGATCATTTTGCATTGTAATGGTTTCGAGTTTTACTTGTGGAATGTGGACCCTCAGAATGCCTAGGGGACCATTGCCCTCTTTGAGATCAGCACTACGGAAGGTGCTTTGGCTCTTGCGCAAATCAATGGCAAAGGCAGAAATGTACACTTTGCCACTACTTGTGGGCACTACCGCTACTAGTTGTTTCTGCTCTTCTACTGCTACCAGGATAACTATATACTTCTACTACCACGACCGCCACGGCTATTGGGGCTGCTGCTACCACCAGCACTCCCATGTACTCCTAAGGTACTCCTAAAGGTTCGTTCCTTTGTTCAACACTCCGAACTGGGTGCCTTGCCGAACAGGATGGGTGGATGTGATGCTTGCCGCTGTTGACAGTCGAGGACCATATCTTCAACCAAGGACGGACAGAAACAATGTAATTAATTCGTGTTCGACCCAGTGGCTTCTTGTTACTACTAGTGAGGCACCTGTCACTGCTAGCGTGGCACTTGTTTCTACTAGCTTCTTGTTACTACTAGTAAGACACCGTCACCCACTGTATACAGTAGTTGTTTTTGTGTCAAGAAAGGACACGAAAAACGTCGAGAAAGAAACGAGAAGCCAAAGGTCAGTGCACAGAACAACATGTGGCGACAGTTCTGTTGAAAGGAGAGACGCCAATGAATTTATCGGTGTTTTGCTTAGTTGTTTGACGAGATTTCCTGAGCTTTGTTTAGCATCGTTTAGATTCAAGCTGCACTTCTCTTTCGAGGGGGATAGTAGGCCGTCTTTGTCAGCAAGAGAAGCTGGAAGAAGACTTCAGTCTAAAGTAGCATTTGTTTAATGTTTTTTTTGTTTTTTTCCTGAACATGCACACATTGAACTCTGACAACTCAGCGTTGCTTCGTTTCTGCTCCGCTTTGCTCAATACAGTTTTTCTAGGCTCAATGCTCTTCGTAGCCTTCATGTTGATAGGCTCAAAGACAAACAGAAAAGACAGACAGTCAAGTCTTGGTTTTGAGTTTTTGCTTTTGTGTTCAAGGCAGCTTCTTTGTCCTGAACCTTTGTGTTGGTGGCCATCTTAGGAAGACGCTAGTAGACTAATCGCAAATGTTGTTCTGTGTTTCGCCAGTGGCCTGGGCATCATCCTTGACACTTAGAAAAGTAACACACCAGAAAATGCAAAATAGAGAAGGCACAACTTGACAAAACCCATTTGTCTTTTTGGAAGACAAAACAAGGCCTCTAGCAATAGAGGCAGTTGCTGTTCGCCTAGGCGTCATCATTGACAATTACAACAAGCAGAAAAAAGAAAGTGATATTCATTTTGCGCCGAGCTCAGAAGGAGAAATTACATTCTCGGAAATTACATTTCATTGTTCTTTTTTGGGGGGTAAGGCTGCTAGAAGAGGTAAGCTAGGACGCTACTGGCTAGGACGCAGGAAAGCTCATGCTATTCAGGTGGCTCCTAGATGTTTACATGTAATTTAAAGGCTTACGCCTGACAGCCGGGCGCCGGCGTACTTGGGAAAGAGAGGTGTGGGTCGAGCTGACGGTAGGGGTCGCTCGCGGTGTTGGCGGGGTGTGGTGTCGGTAAGGGACCCGCCACGGTTTCACGGAGTCTTCCACGGAGAAGACGGGGGCCGGGGTTTGGGGCACCCCGGCAGCACCCGTCCGAGGGACGGGGGCTGACTGCCCTGGTTGCTTGCAGCAACCAAAAGTCGGGAGCGCGATGCATGCTGGGAGGCGGCAGCTGTCAGCTGGCAACAAGAGTGTCGCTCATGCCAGCCAGCCACAGCCCTGGTGAGGAGAGGCAGACGTCATTCCACCCTCAAGGACATTGTCTGCAAGCTGATGCGCCAGCGAGGCCGGCGGGGGTGGAGAGGTTGGGGGTCGAGGCGTCGACGCCGCAAGTTGGAGACGCAGGGTGGCAAAGGACTTAGACAGCATGCCACAGAGAGTAGTTAGGAAGAAACAGTCGACACCGGAAAGGGGACAAACAGTCGACACTGGAAAGGGGACAGATAGAGAGACTGGCGAGACGTGGGCTCAACAACAGGCGGGCCTGTGAACAGAGCAAGAGCATGTGCAAGCCAGCAACAGCCTCCAACCCAAAGACACCAGAAGCAACTAGCGCTGAACTCCCAGAGTGAGAGGACGGCAAAGAGTAGAGCGCAAGAGAAGCTAGGAGACAGCTAGGGTTAGAGAGCAACAGCAACCAAGCACACCAGACCTTTTTTTGCATTTTGTGTTCGGTTTCAGCAGGGGGGCGTGTGAGCAGGGCAGGAGCACGTGCCAAGGCAGAGCAACAAAGCCCCAAACGCCAAGACACCAGAAGCAACCAACGTCGAACTCTGAGAGTCAGCTAGGAGACCGCTAGCGTAGGAGAGCAAGAGCAACCAAGCACACTCGACCTTTTTTTTTTTCTCCTGTGGGTCTCAGCCTTGGAGACCGAGAGTGCACGCGATGCACCGAGCGCATCGCTGACGGTGACGTCGGCCGAAGCCATGGAGACCGGCGGCGCCGCGGTGCGCGCAGCCGACATACCGAGAGCGTCGCTCACGGTGGTGTTGGTGGATTCGACGGGCTACGGTTGGTTGCCCGGGCAAAAGTTGGGAGAGGCTGTGTTTTTCAAGGGTGGTGTCGGTAATGCGCGCCGGGCGGACAGGCTTAATCGACATTTTGTGGGTAGAGGCCCTCCAGACAACTTACGTTGCCTAACATATCCTCAACATAGGCTCAACATGGGCTCCAGATGTGCCCAACATAGACCACATGGGCCCCACTTGGCCCAACATAGGCCAAGATGCGCACCAGATAGCTTAACTTTGCTCAATATAGGGCCCCCGTCTCCGACGCGGACCAATTTCCGGCACCACCAGGACCCAGTATGCCCCCGACAGCTTAACGTGCACCCGACCCAGCCCTACACAGACCCAAGTGGGCCGGCGCCCGGCTGTTAGGCGTAAGCCTTTAAATCGCCAGGACGCCTGTGGCATGCCCGGAGGGCCTTCGGTGGTAACCGAAGGTTATATACGGGCGCGCCCCCTGCCGCCGACCCTCGTTCCCAAAACGGGCGGACCACCGGGTCACTGAAGCCCCTGTAATTTACCGTGTATCGCGTGTGTGGGGTATAAAAAACACTGTGTTTTACAGGGTTTTGGGCCCCTCGGCAGCCGAGAATTTCAGCTTGGCGATGTCAAAAAACGTAGGTTTTTACAGTGTTTTTGCTTTGCGGGAAGGAAAAATCGTAAAAAGTTGTATCGGAAGATTTTTTCCACCTAAATTGCCTCACATCTCCCCAAAATAGGCCCAAGAAAGCCTCCAAGATGGCTCAACATAGAGCCAACATAGGCCAACATGGGGCCAACATAGGCCCAACCTAGGAACATAGGCTTAACATAGGCCAACGTAGGCCCAACATAGGCTCAACCTGGGCCCAAGATGTGTCCAAGATACACCACCTGGGCCCCACTTGGCCCAACCTAGGGCGAAGATGTCCAAACAGCTTTCACTCTGCCCCATATAGGGCCCACCAAGGCCAACTGACAGAGCCAGAGACAGAGAAGACAGAGACAGACTGAGAGAGATAGAGAGAGAGGGACCGAGACAAAAGACAGAGACAGAGACAGAAACAAAGACAGAGACGGAGACAGAGACCGACAGAGGGCGAGACGGAGAAAGAGACGACAGAGACAGGTGACCCAACCTGGTCGTCAGATTTTCAAACATAGTCGACGCTGGGGTACTTCTGACGACAGGAAAAGAAACAGAGAGAGAGTGAGAGATGGCGCAACTGCGGCAGTGTCTTCAGACGCAGGCCTCTACCTATCTCACGTCCAAGCCGATAAAAAAGCCACAAAGGTTGCTACACAAACCACTGGCCGCAACTCAAAAGTGTTCTCTCTCACCTGTAGCACCTCTCTGCGCACACTTGCTGCCATAGAAAGTGCAAGGCCTTTTTGGCCTCTCCATAGGCACCAGGGACTATCTCCAAGATGCTCTTGCTCAACTCCGGCACGCCACATGCCAGCCGCGCTACCCCGAGGGCCTCATGCCGCGCCCCTCGCACGGAGTCGCGGGCTGGCACCACGCCCACTTCCACCTCCACGTCCCCTCCATCCAAGACCCATTGCATGAACTGGTCGAGGGTGTTCGTGCCATCCTTCTTGCCAGGCTTCACAACGCTGCCCCCACTGACGATGCTCGCAACCGTCTCCACGCCCCCACACTTGCGAAAATCCATGGCAGCATTTTTGCATTTCTCCCTTTTCCCCGCGTCGTACTTCGATATGCGCAATAAACCCTGTAAAACAAAGTGTTTTTTATACCTCACACACACGATACACTGTAAATTACAGGGGCTTCAGTGACCCGGTGGTCCGCCCGTTTTGGGACCGAGGGTCGGCGGCAGGGGGCGCGCCCGTATATATAACCTTGTTGGGCACGTCTGGAGCCCATGTTGAGCCTATGTTGAGCCTATGTTGGCCTATGTTAGGCCTATGTTGGGCCTATGTTGGCCCGGCTGACTTTTGCAGGGCGCTGGCTGATCTTTTTGATAAGGCCAACCCGCCAGCTGAGGAAGCTACTGAGCTCCCCTCTTGGTTTCAGGAGGCAATCAGGAATTTGACAGCGTCCTTTGATGAAGAGGCTCCCATGGGGCCGGACTTCAGACCGGACGCTGTGGAGCGGCGTTAATTCGCGCATGCGAACAGTCACAGGCACTGCCTTCGGCTTCACAGAAAGAAAGAAAGGTTCTCCATCGGCAGATGTGCGTTGTGAGTCTTAAGACTTGAGGGCTTCGGAAGACTTTAGAAACTTTTGCCTCGTGGAGATAGACCGCCTTGCAGAATTTCTTTGTTTTTTTCACACAGCGTCCTTGTCCCTAGTAGCAATGCCAGGAGCCCCTAGTAGCGTCCTTGCTCCTAGGTTTCAGTGCAAATGGTTTTCAATTCGTGCGTTTCCTTTCCCTCGCGTGTCTCGCCTAGTTAGTCAGTGCGTCTCCTATTCTGGTGCGTCAAGAGACTGCGTCAAAACGCAAGAAGGAACACACCCATTTCAGGAGTAGCTGCGATTGTGTTAGGCGCTGGTGCTCGCCGAGTGAGTTTTAACGTCGCAATGGGCGTGGCCACCTGGAATGGCATGGAGTTGACCACTTGCCTTGCAATTAATAGGTTCCTAAGAGTGTGTCGCCCGGATCTAAGACTATTTTTGCCGAAAGGCCCTTGAGCGCCAAAAGGCGCGCCCTCATGAGCGCGGACATGTTTACGCCTTTTCTTCAGCATGTGTGGGAGCGGCTCGATTGCCCTTTGGTGCCCGGAGGATACGGCCGTCAAAGTTCGCGCCGCGAGTGTTGTATGGTGACCCCCACTTTATTGCTGCGATTCTGCCGGAAGCCGGTGGACGCAAATTGCCTGGAAGAGGTCGAGAGGAGTTTTGTTGTCGTGCCCTCATTCTGCGATATCATGTATGCACTAAGTTGTTGGCGAGCGGCCTGATTTCGCATTCAACACCCTAGAAATCACAAGAAAAAGTCAGCTCCATAAGGCGCGACGATTGGCAATTTGCTCAGCATCTTCCCTTGGTGCATGCTCAAGCCATCATTGCACCACAACAGTTCGTGTGAAAAGTAGAAACAAACAAAACTCAATGAAGAGATAAAGTAAAAAGGGGTCTGATCCTTACTTTAAGGCCCGTTCCCCTCAAATTCTAGGAGTGAAGTCATTAGTGCGAGCGCTCTTCTCACCAATTTTGGGGCGGTCGGGGAAGCTTCCTTGAAGAAGCGTGAACTATCCTGCGTCCCAGCTAGGAGCTAGCTAGCCGCCCTTACTCACTTAAGTAGGCGCCTACTGAATAAAGTAAGGAGGCAGGGCCACGGGCCAAAAAACATTAATTTACTTGCTTTGGGTTTGACATTGAGAAACAGGTGCTGGTGACTGACGTGCAAGCCGCATGGATGACCCAAATGAAGGCGCAAGGAATTCTTGACATTGCCATGAGTTGTAAACACCCATTAGCCGCAGCAATTGCCACTTAGGCAACAACATAAGTTGCAGTTTCATGTCTTTCTCATTCCCTAGGCCTGCTAGAAACAAGGACGCTACTAGGGGCTCCTCGCATCGCTACTAGGAACAAGGACGCTTCTAGGGGCTCCCGGCATCGCTTCTAGGAACAAGCACGCTACTCGGGGCTCCTTCATTTCTTTCTCATTCCCTAGGCCCTATTCGTTATTTGTTCGTTCAACTCCTTCCCTTCAGGCCATCTACTTGCGCAGAACGTTCTTCACTCAGGTGAATGTCGACAGGTGCGCCATGAGCACCGTTGGCCATGCGATCTTCGTCTTTAAGTGAAAGACACGCAGAGTACGCAAAAACAATCAGAGAGTGTAGAGGGAGGACTGTTTGTTGTGCTTGAATTTGGTTTGAACCCGTTTTGGATTAAGAGCCAGATGGGAGAGAACAAACATTGAAGTAAAAAGAAGAAAACTACACTTGCGGTATAGCTCAACGGTGTTTTGTTCAACAAAAGTAATTTCACTTGAATTGACGTTCAATGTTTAATGTTGTTGATTCAAAAAAGCTTTGCATTGGGCATCCTGGTAAGTATACGCACTTGTTGTCTATTTTGTGATTAATTCATTTTTACTTGGGTTCTTACTTGCTTACTTGTCATGTTTGTGTGTTTGTATTTTTCTTGATGTGTTTTTTCTTTTTTTAAAGCTTTTTTTGTATTTTACTCTTGCGTTTGTTATCCTTTTCAGGCTGGGGCCTTCGCGGCAGCATCGCTTCAGGAGGGAAACCATGAGAGTTGTTTTATGCTGTATGTTTTTTGGTAAACTTCTTTTCCATCTCGCGTGCTTTTGAGAGCTTTAGGGCTGGAAGAAATGCTGCGTTTATCCTTCCTTCGCATGTGTGTCCTCTCAACCTTGGCAAAGATTGGATCGAATTTACCGCAGACGAGTTCCTTTGGTCGAAATCTGCGATTTTCGCACATCGCTCTTTGTTCCCAAGTCGGCTCTGTCATTTTCCACCGAAAACAACTTCCTCGCCATGTTCATTGCCCAGAAACCTGTCCAAACACCACTCCCATGCTATTTACATATATTTTTCAGGTTGGAGGCCATCGCTATTAGGTTGGAGGCCATTCCTATTAGGTTGGAGGGGATACCTATCAAAAATATCATTGTTTCCGATCAATAAAACAGTTGTTTCCTATCAAAGAAACACTAATTCGTATCAAACAGAAAATTCCCTCTACTCCTTTTGTCCTGGCCTGCTGGTTCTCTGATCGCTTGGTCCTTTGCTCCCTTTGTCCTGGTCCCTTGGTCCTGATCCCTTGGTCCTCTGGTTCCTTGGTCCTTTGGTCCCTTAGTCCTCTCAGCCTCTGGTCCTTCGTCCTGGTCTTCGGGTCTTGGGTCTGACTTTCGAGGCAAGACGCGTTCAAGGTGAGTTGGAAATCTGGTCATGCATCCTGTGAAGCACTGTAGCAGACAGTTATCACCAGACGTAGCAGACCTTTTTTGTCAGCCACCCTGACGGTTTTGTCAGCCACTTGAGGGTAAAATTTAGAAGAAGAAGACGAAGAAGAAGAAGGAGCCATTCCAACGTAGCAAGCCTTTGGTTTGTGAGCAACCGCGCCTGCCACGCAATCTGCACTTCGAGGTTCAAGTGCTGCACAAAGTGCTGCGCCTGCCACGAGCCCTGCAACGGAAGGTGCTCAAAGTGCTGCGTTTGCCACGAAATCTGCAGTTCCAGTGCGCCAAGCACCACTCCTGCCACGAAATCTGCTACTGAAGGCGCTCAAAGTGCTGCATTTGCCACGAAATCTGCACATCCAGATTCACATCGCGCAGCGCTGCCCGGTTCGCAGTGGCAGGCGCAGCTCTTTGTGAAAGGAAATGTTGTTTTTGACACTAATTAATTTTCTTTTGACAGGATATAGAAAATTTTCTTTTTGATAGCCCGGCCATGTTGGAGGCCATCGCTATTAGGTTGGAGGCCATCACTGGTTTCCTATTGGGTTGGAGGATTAGGTTGGAGGCCATCGCTATATTGGGTTGGAGGCCATCGCTATTGGGTTGGAGGCCATTGCTAGTAGGTTG